TCTTTCCTTAAATGAATCAAGCGACAATTCCATTGGCTAATCTTTATGAATAATTCATACTTCTATTTGATGAACTTGTGAAGGCCATCACATCTGAAGCAAAGGCAACTGATAACAAAGAAAATGAATTGAAGAAGATAATCGATGAAGCAACATATAACATGGATAATCAGCCACCAACCACAATCATGCCTCAAGACACGAGTACTCCTTTCCAGGGGGACGATTCACCTTCAAATGTTGCACACAAACAACAGTAGAGGAGGAGGAAGAGGATCCAATATTTAAAATTCACTCATCATTTGAGGGGGAGAATATAGAAGTGAATGATGATACTGATGTTCAATCAAAATTCGAAGAAATAAACGCTAAATTAGATCCTTCTTTTGATCCAAACTACCCTCCACTACTGAAATGGACCAGAGATCATCCGAAAGCACAAGTGATAGGTGAATCGTCTTCAGGAGTTCTTACAAGATCTCAACTAAAAGTGAAACTGACTAATTTTTTTCTCTCAAGTGGAATATTGCTTGTTTAATTCGTTTGTCTCCAAGATAGAACCTAAAACTATAAATACTACTCTTGATCACTCCGATTGGGTGTAGGAAATGCAAGACGAACTCAATGAGTTCAAAAGAAATAAGGTTTGGAGATTGATTCCCACTCCACCGGATGCTTCTGTGGTAGGTCTGAAATGGGTGTTTTGGCAAGAAATTGGACAAGGAAGGCAATGTTATACGAAACAAAGCTAGACTCGTAGTTAAGAGATTTCCAGGAAGAGGGTATCGACTACGAAGAGATCTTCGCACTTGTTGCATGGTTGGAATTAGTTCACATATTCCTGACATATGCTGCACATAAGAACTTCGAGGTGTTCCAAATAGATGTTAAATGTGCTTTCCTAAATGGAGAATTAGAAGAGACGGTATACGTGGAACAACTACATGGATTTGTGAATGAGAAGTATCCCGATCATTGCTAGATTTTGGACAAGGCGGTCTATGGTCTGAAGCAAGCTCCGAGAGCCTGGTATGAAACTCTTACTCGTATCCTCAAAATGTATAAATTTAAACAAGGTTCAGTTGACCCAACCTTTGTTCATAAAAAATAGGGTGACCACTTAATGATCGTCTAAATTTATGTTGATCAAATCATCTTCGGATCTACTAATCCCAGCCTCACAGCTGAATTCCGAAAGTTGATGGAAACTAAGTTTGAGTTGAGCTCAATGGGTCCTATTAATTTTTTCCTTGGATTGAATATAAGGCAGGGACCAGAGGGAGTTTTCATTAATCAGGAGGCATATACGAAAACTTTGCTCTCTAAGTTTAGCATGATAGATTTCGTAAGATCCGCTGATCAAGGATCATGTGGAAGATGGCAACGTTGAGATACATTTCGTAAGATCCGCTGATCAGTTGGCTAACATATTTACACAGGCCTTTCCTGCGACAACCTTTAATAGAATTCTTCAAGGGATAGGAATGATGGAAGCTGAATCTGTACCAAAACCAATTTCGCACTAATAATGGAGTAACTGCGAATTGGTGCGAACGTTCACAACATTTTGCAGACAACTGTTCATTTACTATTGACTTTATTGATACGAATCTGTGTGAACGCTCGTAGTAGTTTGCAGTTCTATGATCACTCGTGGTTTGGTTTCTTATATCCTTTTGTACTATATGTATACTTTATTTTGGCTTTGTTTGTTCTTACATCTCTTTTTCTGTTTTTAATTCTTTTTCAGAAAAACTCAAAATCCAAAATTCTATTTTCTCCTGTTTTTTTTAATTTTTTTTTTCAGATAAACAAAATTGCAAAAATAGTTTTTTTTTATCATAAAATATATAAAATATCAGGCTCATATAAAGCCTATGGAGTATGTTCGTGATTTCTCTTAATTCATGTGCGAGGGTAGGTATATAATTCTCTATCTTTGTATTAGCTAAGTGTTCCTAGAAGCATGCTGCTGCATGTTGACCGAAGCCTCAATCGACTCTATGTGAAGCCTTAGTGAATCGAATCTATTATTTGTTTCTTACCAATTAGGCTACTAAATTCGAATTAGTCATGAGCTACCTTACTCTTCTCCCATTGAGTTACGAGTTATCAGCTAGGTCACATTTGTTTCGAGAGATACTTTCGCTTCTTTACCTACCTTCACTCTTCTCCATTAGCCTTCGCATTCACAAATGTAACCCCTGAGACTCTCAGCAATATTAGTGAGGTTTATCGTTACGAAACATTTGAGTTCATGATCTTAGCTTCGTTCACCACGAACTGAGTGAAACCCGAAATCCAACACACTTACATGAATTGACAGTGACCAATTAAAAGTTCTAGATTTTCACCACGGCATTAACGAAACTCCACCTTTGTGGATTATACCATGAAATCTCCTTCTATTTTTCGAGATCTTTGTGAAGTGTTCTATAACCAAGTCACCTCTTCCCAAAAGATCCGATTTTATTTTTTTGAGATTTCAATGTTTTATCTTGTCACTATAATAATTTCAAACCTACTCGTTTAACTGACTACACTAGTCACACAAGTACTTCATCCGACATTCGTTCTTATATCAAGTTCGTTGTCCAGTTGAAGAGTTAGCCACCCAGTGAGTTTCTTATCAGACATTTGATCGTATTTCAACGGGAAACCACACAGACATTTCTTAGTCTCTCTTGACTTCGAAGGAAGAAATCTATGCCCCTGATTAAATGACTTATGTCTTCATATAGACATCACAAAATATCCTAGATATTCTTGCTTTACTTCTTTATCTTTGACACTCTTGCATAAAGGTCCTCGTGATCTTCCAAAAGTCTTGTTCGTGGTTCATAATACTTACTTTCAGGTTCACAGTGTATTCTAATTTTTCTAAGACGAAGTTTCGCCATAGTTGGAACAAAGAAGGTTTAACTGTGAAAGATGGATGATAACTTGGCAATTTATGGCGATAAGAATTCAAAAGGGCGTGTGCAAAATTTGAACGACCAGCTGTTTTTCCGCCACATGACGCACGGGTCTGACATCTACAGTTGTCAAGTTGCGCTCTTTCAGGCGACGTTTTGATACCCAATGCACTATCTCTTCAGATTTCCCTGACAAATCGAATGCTATATAAAGGTTTTGACGGTTCCTCTCTCTCTTTACCGCTTTCAAAATCTTCTCAAATATATATGGAAAACAAATTGCTCTATACTATTCATCATCTTATTTAAAGCTTCTCCAATGGTGGCCTCTTCTGAAAATGATTCTGTTCAAGATCATATAGTTCACTCATCTCTCCTAGCAATCAAACAACTCCAAAATCTGGATCTGGATCCATGTAGGTATGATGCTTTTATGCTTCTGATCATCGAGTGTCTCAAATACTCCCCTATGACGATTGCTCTCACTCAAATGGAGAATGTTCCTTTTTCGATTCTCTCCAAGGCGTATACATCTGCTAACTATGTTAAGGATGAACAAAGAATCTACTTTGACATTCACAATAATACCACTTCGATCACCAAGACATGCTTTTCCTCTATTCTAGGGCTTCCACAGTCAGACAAATTGATCAACCCAGAAACCATCTCTAATGTTGCTCTTCTGGAGATGTTCTACTAGATAGGATACAAAGAAACTCTTATTGTGTGTCCAAATTCAAGAAACCCAACCTTCCTCCTATGTGGAATGCTCTCTTCACCATCCTGTTCAAGGCCTTTTCTGAACGATTTACAGGGTATGAGTGTGCAAGTAAGATGTTCATGGGATTGATGTATGGTCTCTACACTGGTCAAAATGTTGATTTCGTATACATTCTTTGGGATCAAGTCATCCAGAGTACACATTCCACCACACGTCACAGTGACATATCCTATGCATGTTTTTGGACGATCATTGTTCTCAGATCAATTGACAAGATCCAAATTCTGTTGATGGCGGATACAATGATGGCAAACATCTCCACTTTTCACACCACCGACATCATCGTTTCTGACATCTTAAAGTTTTATTTTCTAGGATAGATTTCGGAATTTATGTTCTGTGATGTGCTGCCTTCAAGCAATATACTGGGGGGATATTGCAAACTTACTCCTTCTGGTTTTCACCCTTTAACTACAGAATTTTATGAAATCCTAGCTAAGGCAGACAAGGCCGATAAAGGGAGCAAGGGTTCGAAGAAAGGAGGAAAGAAATCTACTGATAAAGAGGGTTCATCTCATGCTGTGAAATCTCCTGCTAAAAAGCGAAAGGCCACTGCAGCCTCTTCCACTGCTGCCCCTAAATGCCGAAAACTAGTAGCTCGTAAGCACGAGTCTCTCACTCCAAGTGACAGTGGAAATTCAGATTCTAAGACAGAGTCAGATGTCAGGGTTGAGGGAAATCAACACATTCACAACGAGGAGGAAGAGGTTGTTCATAACAAAGAAGAAGCACTCGTTCGTAATGAGGGGGAAGAACGGGTTCACAATGAAGGCAAACAATTTTGCAATGAATCACCAGATCGCAATAAAGAACAGAATCCAAACCTAGAGGTAAACCAAACATTTAATGATTCTGTTCCTTTTCCTCATCCTTCACCAAAAACTACTTCTACACCAATAACCATTGCACCTTGTCCTCCGCCTGTTTCAACTCAACCTTAGACCACTGTTTCCATATCAACCCCTCTTTTCATAGATTTAATCACTCCTCCTACCACTTTAGCCAACCCTGATGTTACAGTCAACATATCTGATACGGGGGCTAAAGCATCAGATTTCTTAATACATGTCCAACCTCCCGTATCCCCCATTCGCACTGATGATCTGGATATGATATTCAAGAATAATAATGAAGATAACCCTAGTGAATTCACTTATAGTCCATTTCAAATAAGGAAAGACACTGAAGATGAAGCCACCATCACGAAAGGGTAGCTTAAGTCCCTACATGAGAAAATTGACAAGCTCCTGCTTGCTTCTGAGGCTTCCTCATCTGTAGCATACTCCAAAGTCACTATTGAATCTATGTTTGAGAGAATAACGAAGGAACATGCAGAAAACGCTGCGAAAATGAATAAGGCAATGTCTAATTTCGCAGAGGTTTGTAAAACAACGACCAAAAAAGTTGATAAACTAATCTCTGAAGCAACTGCATTTATGGAGACTTACCGAACCACCTACAACAACAATACTGCATCTGTGAATGAAGCTCTTCAGCAACTGGGCTCTATGTTCAAAACTGAGAAGTACGAACCTGTTATGACCCGTCTGCAACTGATGATCAAGTTGTATAGTCATGAAGTTGGTTTGTTGGATGTAGATATTGTCACTGTTTTGAGAAAGAAGCCGAGCGTTGTTCCCAAGGAAGCTCCAAAGGACTACGAAAAGTTAAAACCAAGGAAGATATAAAAGGAAGGATGGTTCGTTGTGTACCAGTCTAAAGATCACTCTGGAGCAGACCTTCGCCAGTCTTACTTCCATCTCGAAGACAAACATCTGTACACTACTTCGTGTCTGGAATTTGTATTGGATCTGGTCACTAATTTCAAAGGAAACCACAAGGATGATGTAAAGTGCTTCTTGGATATGATTTTGTGGTATATCGAAGTTTGCAAGATACTGCTTTGCTTTATTCCGAAAATCTATGAAGTGCAGAAGCGAATCACTTGCTGATGTACTATATCTCCCATTGACGCAAAGGGGAGATTGTTGAGTACTTTGTTGTTGCGTCATTGGGCTTTGTATTTAGTCTGTTTTGTAAACGGGTTGGGCCAGTCCTCCTTTTTTTTATTTCTAGGGTTAGAGTATATATGGTGCATGCATGCATCTTATCTTAGTTAACTGTTTTATTCATATTGTAACCCTAGCACGCCTCTACAGTAAAAATTCTTCATCGAGTTTAGCTGAGGCGTGACTTTTAATCATTCAATATCTATTTGATTTACTGTGTTATTGCTTACCTGTTTGAATCTTGTCGATCTTTAAGATTTTATTCTCTACACTAATCCAATAGGATCCTAGTAATTTGGTGAATAGTAACACTTTTATTATTAAGTTTACGGATTTTGATGCAGGAATGAGCGTGATCATGACCAAAGAACTTCGACATCTAAGATAGATGATCTTAAACATACCTAGAGTAGTCCAGCCTATACCGAAAGTCTCCCTAACAAGCCACATGATCTTAAAATTTACTCCTACGATTGTTAACACTGAAGTCCCAAAGTGCATCCAAACTCCCAACATGAAGCCTTATGATAGGACTACGGATCCAAAAGAACACGTGGCACAATAAATGGAAAGAATGGAGATCATCCCCATTCCCACACATTTGAAGGAATCTTTTGGAGGATCCTTTATTGGATTGACCAAGTGAATCAGTCAAAAGACCTTTACATAGGTCTTTCTGAACTGGCTTGTATGTATGATCTTACGACCTTCGAGAATTCTCGCTTTCTTCTTAAATTTAGAACCCACAAATCTTCTTTTGTCCTGAAAACCAAACACAACGACAGAGCTTGGAAAGAAAAATACTTTTTGTGAGACGTGACTCTATTCTTGGTGGGGATCTCCTGTCAGATGCTTGCTTGGGTTAAGAAGTGTGGGATTCTATTATACTAATATAAGGATCCCGAAATTCACTTGTTTTATTTTTTTTTCTTTTTTGTAGCTTTTAAACTCGAAGAGCTTGTCCTCGCCGCTCAGGATTTGGAAGAGAAGGTTGAGAAGTTCTTGACCTTGTCTGAAGCTGAGAGATCCTTTCGATTTGAATAGGCCACTTTGCAAGAAAGCTCTTCTATTATTGATGTCATGTCGGCAGGTAAGGATCCCTGATTGTTTTTGCTTGCGATGAAGGATCTTGTTATTTTTATGTTACATATGTAGGATCCAAGATCACTTGCTCCAATGCTCATTTCACTCTTTCTTTTCTCGACATAGCTATGTCTAAGGACAAGCTAATGGTCAAAATGGAGAAGATTTTGTATTCTCTTCCTCCTAAAAGATCAGCCACTGACTTGACAGTGAAGACTCCGAGATCTCTAAAAAAGGGAAAAATGTTGAGTCTGCAGGTCTATCCTTAAAGAACCTTGGAGTTGGGGATGCGCTCCAGAAGTTGGACTCTTTCACCCAAGTTGTAAGTGTTGGTTTTATTCTTGACCCACATTCTAGTTTTTTTTGAACCACTATGTCTTTGTTTTAGGTCTCTAATCACATTTCTGATGATCTAAGGATCTGATCGGAGAGCATTGAACAAGACCTTCAGGGACAGGAGAGGATGTGGAAGGCGACCAACGAGGATCCATTGAGGAGAGTTGTGTTGCTTAGTAAGGAGAAAGTTGAAAAACAAGAGGGGAACTTGCTCGACATGGAGGATATGATCTCTGATGTAAAGGTCAGAACTGTAGTGGTTGTTTAGGAGGCCAAGATTTGTCTTACGGAGGATCTAGAGAATGTAGGTTCCTGGGCTATGGATGATTGGCGCGAGGTACTGGCCAAGTTGACTAGCAAGCCTGCTACCGCTAATCAGGATCCTGTATTGCAGCTGACTGAAGGAGGGGAGAAGAAAGACACATCCGATGATGAGCAGGCTAAGCTCTAGGCCTGCGTAGGTTAGCTCAAAAAGCTTTTTGTGTATTTGGGATGTAGAATAATTAATCTTTTGGTGTGTTAGAGGAAAACCCATTTTTTTGAATATAATGGTTGCATTTTTTTCATATCCTTCTCTTGATCATCCTGTATAATTGTTTGTTCTACTAGGATCCTGAAGAACTTAATTCCCGCAAATAACCCTAACAAAATCACTTAGTAAATTATAAGTAACTGTTTTACTTTAAAAAAAATTAAGTTAGTAATCTTCGTTTAGGTTCCTAAAAGTTTTGGATCCTCAAACTTTACTAAGAGTTTTTCAAAAATAAGGATAGATGAAACCTAGTGATCTTAGAAAAAGTTAGAAGTTATGAACTCCTTTTTTTGTATGACCTTTATGCTTGAAGGGATCTTTATTTTAGAAGCTCATTAGGATGGATCCTCATTCCTCAAATTTCAGGAAGGATCCTTAGTTTCTCAAGGAAAGTCTTTGTATTATAATGTTATGAATCTCGTTCATCTTCTGGGGAAGATCCCATCTCGAACTCATGTCATGACATTACGACAATCTTTTGGGGAAAATCCCAAATTATAATACTTAACGAATTATTGGGGAAAAACCCTTAATCATATGATATAAATGTTATAATCTTTATGTATTTTCTAGGGAAATTCCTAACATGTAAACATTATAAATCTTAGGAGTTTTCTGGGGATGATCCTAACTTAATATAACATGTAAATGTTATAGACCTTAAGAATATTCTGGGGAAGATCCCATATTGAGATAACATGTAAATGTTATTAACCTTAGGTATATTTTGTCGAAGATCCCAAATTGAGATAACATGTAAATTGTATTAACCTTAGTTTCAAACTTCAGGATCTTAACTTATGTTCAGAAGCAAGAGGGTTGCCAAGTCACTAAAGCATGAAATGATCCCCTTATTCACATCCCATAGTTAGATATTGTGCGTCCAAACGAGGTATAAACCTTAACTCATGTGAAAGAGTTAATTAACTCTTTAAATCAGACAGGGGATTAAGTACCCTTATTTATAGGAGAGATGATCAGTCTCTATTCTTAGGAGATTTATATTGTGAATTATCGGATGTTTTTAGTTAAGGGTCTCTCAATGGTCCCTTGGACATCAGGATCCTAGAAAGTTCACCCGTTCAAGATTCTTGGAAGTCAGGATCATTAAATGTTAGGATCCTTGTAAGTTAGGATCCTTAAATGCCAGGATCCTGAAATGTTGGGATCCTTTAGTGTCTGCATGAAACAAACGTTAGCTAAGGTTGGAAGTTAACCTAGCTAATGCCCCTCCGATGCTTAATTTAGTAATGACATTAAAGAAAATAAATTATGAAAAATAGAGGATAAAGAATAAAAGGCATATGTACCTTGCGTGTATCACAAAACGACTGGCCTTACTTATATAAAATAAGATTTGAGATATATCGCATTCCAGGATCTTGGCAAGATATCTCCATCTAAGGTGGCTAACCAATATGTTTCCTTACCCGCTTCAACATCTATGAGGTATGGCCCTTCCTATTTAGGTGCTAGTTTACATGTACTAGGATCCTTGGTATTTTGGAAAATTTTTCTTAGTACCAAGTTTCCTACATGGAATCTCCTAATCCTTATGTTTTTACCATATGCTCTGGTAATAGTTGGTTGATGAGCAGCAATATGGATCTTGGTAAGATCCCTAAGGCCATATATGGTGTCGAGATCCTAGTCTAGGATCCTACTATTGTCCTCTTGGTTTTTGTGACAACTGCCAATTCAGGTCATTCTTGGACTCATGCATCTTTATAATAACCATTCATGCACAACATGCCATGACCTAGTAGTATAAATTAGGTCAAAAATCTTGCATAAACTAGGATCCAACTAAGGTCTAGGACTAATATACTTGATACTTACAATTCTAGTAAGTTGCTTAGCTATAATAGGAAATGCCAATACTATAATTAGAATAAAGCTTCAAGCTTTGTTATAATTGAAATAGGGTATAAAACTCTAAAAATAAATTAAAACATTCTAATTATACTTCAACATGTTGTTGAATATCAAACAATATTCCAAAAACCCTAAAGAGCCAAAAATCCAAAGTTATAAATTATAAAGCTTAAAAACTTTATAAAATTTGGCTATAAACTTCCTAATATCAAATTTTATTAATCAAATTATGGATTATACCAATGAACTAGAAATATAAATTACAAGTATTAATCATAAATTATTTGTTGAAAACAAGATTTTTAAATAAATCAAATTGCTTAATAAACATTTTATAAAAATGAATGTTTTTATATAAAATATAGGAGGGAAGTTTATAAAGTTTAAAATTTAGGAGAGAGGAGGCCAAAATGCATGCAAAAACCGGCCATCACCTCTCCCCATGCCCTCTCTCTTCCCCAAAACACAATCATTAAGCTTAAACCCTTACTCCACCTCTTCCCTCTTCACTCTCTCACTTCACTCTCTTCACACACTTCACTCTCTTCTTCCCTCTCTCTAAACTCACGAAAATCCTCTCATTTCTCTGCAAAATTTCGAGATTGTGAAGCCCTTGAAGTGTTCTTACTTCTCTCAAGGTCAAAACCAAGGTAAACAACAACATCTTCTTCCATAGTTTCATGGTTAAACCTCTTTTTCTTCTTAGTCTTCTCTACTTTTCGGATTCTATGCCTTTCCATGGCTAGAAATCTTTATTCTCCCCTTGTGGTTTGTAGATTCTCACCATAACACAATGCATGTGTTAGAGATGGTGAAAATCCGGGATCAAACCCATGCAAGGAGTGGAAAAGAT